AGAGAGAGAGAGAGAGAGAGAGAGAGAGAGAGAGAGAGAGAGAGAGAGTATTATAAAATATATAAGTTTATAAAAGTTTATAAATAACATAATTTTTCTTTTTTTCTTTTCGTTTTTTATTTTTGCTTTATGAGAATTTTTTGTTTCTTTTTTGTATTTCTAAATGTAGATTTTTCCTTTCCTATTTCTCCATGTAGAAATTGTACACGAAGAGAATATAGTTTTTTTTATATGAACTCTTTACAATTTTATTATGTCCTTAGTAGTCCAGGAATAGACTGTCAGTAAAGACTGATCTACAATATGCTCTTTGCGTTCTGTTTCTTGTCTTCTATCTTTTTCTGGCATAAAGCTTAAAGTGTGAGTCAGAAGGAGATAAAGAAAAAGAAACAGGAAACAAATAACACATTGTAGATTAAGTTTGAGGCCTATCTTGCTGAAAAGCATAATAAATTTCGCTGGAAACATAGCAGATTTCGCTAGAAACATGGCAATAACATGATTTTAATAGCACATTTCAACTCCTAAAATACAAGTAACACATATGAAATGAAAGGAATTACTGCAAAATGTCCACCTATTTCCTTAGTTAAAATTCCTTATAATAAAAAGTATAATAAAATTCTCTCTCTGTGTATATATTGTACCATACAGATGAATTACGTAATTTAGTGAAATAAATAAATAAATAAATTAAATAATACACGGAAAAAATCTCAGTTCGCGCAACTGCACAGAGATCAGATGAAAATTCAGCTACAAGAAATGATATCTCTGTTACCGTAAACGAAAGCATTTGTCTAAACATTTAGCTGTCTATTCAGCTGTCTATTCAGTAAAACTTGTTTGCCATAATTGAGAACAATTAACTGAGTCAGAATCTTCTGCAGAAATGTTTCCTATAATCGAGCTTTTCAGATCTCTATTCTTATCGGGCAATAGAAATTCAATCACGCCAATAGAATTGTTCCTTTCCGTGTAATATTATCTTTGTCCGACCGGCTTTTCCTACAAAAGGACGTTCGCACGGCGCGCAGACGAGGAATCCGACCGAGACGATTTCGGAAGAGATTTCGGAAGTATACCATCGCGAAATCGTCCGGCCGTCTAATCTCGGGGATGCAATCGCGCGCTATGCTAATTCCCGACGTAGGCGTTACTCTCAGGACGGCCGCACTGACACGAGATTGTATCGGCGCGTTCGCACAATGGAGCCACGACACCGTCGAGAATCCTCAAGTATGTGCTCTCACGCGCGCATCCTATATTCAAACGTATTCCGGAATATATTATGAGAGAAAGGCGTTAGATTCAATCGTCCGGCATTTTGTAATTTTCAGGATAAGCCCGGCGAGTGCGTCCGTGACATGTAAATTTTTAATCCCGTGTGTATTTACTGCCGCGACAGAGAACGAGGGGTAGAAGTCCGCGAAGTCGAGCTTATCGGTAATTTACTCTTCCTCTTTTGCCGGTTTAGCTAGTCTCTTGCGCGCCAACTTAACCCCTGACTCAGCTCGAAAGTATTTGATCAACGGTGTCTGATGCCACGAAGGACACAGTGGCGGCATACCCGACGGGCACATCACGTCGCAGATATGTAAAATTATACGACTTAACGGAATGTGATATCGCCCATGACGGCAGACGAATGCTTTCTGCGAAAGCTTTTTGCGCGTCCTACGTTTGCTTGGCGCCGCCGCTTGGCTTCCTCTTCTTTCCTTCCTCGTCGAGGAGAACATCGCAGAATCGTCAAAAAAGGAAAAGAAACGTAATAATAAACTTGACGGAAGTTACAAAACTGTTGGCTCGTCGAAATTCGAGCTGTTGACTAAATGGCATGTGGAAGAACGTGAGTAAAAGCAATGATCGATCAATAATTCTTGATAATTTTAGAATTATCGAGAACGTAAGATTATCATGTCAAAGTTAAAGTTCTCGACTGTAATTGCCCAATTTGTTTATTGCTCAACCTACCTTAACTCACGTATTAGTCTCTTAGAACACAAAATTGATGTTTTCAAAGTTATAAATATCTTTAACTGGTAGACAAAGTTTATGTAAAAAACAAACTTTCAATATATTACATTTTTATTAATTAAAAATGGTTCTCGCAAATGGAACATGAGCTTTTGTGCATAGATTACGTGGTTCGGAGAAGGTCAAGCGCCAATTTTTTTCAATAATTAGAAACTTAATTAGAAACTTAAAGAGAAACTTAAAGAGAAACTTAAATCCATATTTAAACTATTATTGAAAAATTGATATCAAGAATCGATTTTTCAGTAGTTGTTTAAACTTAAATTCAAGTGTAAGCTTTGTTGTAATATGTGTTCGATGTGTTTGAGCAGAGTTTAAGTCTAAGTTTAAATCACTTTGGAAAAAAGTCTGCTTGAAGTCTTGCTGCTTACATTTTTGTACGTGCCATAACTTCAACAACGTCATTCCAAAAGAACGATCGTGGAGTCTCGTCTTGAGAGAGAGGAGGCGCATGAGACCGTGAGATCGCTATCGCTCGGCGAGTGATAATAAATCGATCTCAATCAACGGAGGTATGAATCAAGAGCCGACAATCCCGCGGCGCGCACGTGCGCGCGTGATACATTGCTTCTCACAAGGCGACACCGGAGTTCACGCGGCCAGAGTTTGCCGCACGCGCCGTGCGTATCGCGCGACGATTGTCGCCGTTAATTTGCATATTAATAGACCGCGTTTCCCGCGGAATTCTGGGTTTACACGAGGGTTTACACGCGTCGATTCGATTCGAAAGGCGATCGTGAAGGAAGAGACTTCAACGTGGCGATTCGCGCGCCGATTGCGTCAGTCGTAATAAATGGCGCGCGGGACGCGTTCGAGAATAAATAGAGACTTCGATGAGAGAGTTATGCCCGTCCGTCTGTAATAAATAAACAAATATAAATAATATTAAATAATAAATAATTGCAATCAAATAAAAATATAAATAATAATAAATAATAAACGCTGATATGGAAATGCAAAGTGTTGTACACTGTAAAAATTGATGTGTTAAATTTCATGTGTCCCAAATCATCCACTCTCATTTATGTGTAAATTTAATACAAAACAAATGTATTAACACGCATAATATGGAAAAAATTAACACAAGAATTTAACACTTGAATACCGTACATCACAGGTTGTGTTAAATTGATATATTTAATATGTCAGATATAGATTATGTCAATTTAACATTTTCATTTCATCAAAACCGTAGATTATTACTTCTCTCAAATGTTAAAGTAACATTTTATTTTAATTAGTTTAATTATACATATACATATGTTAATTATACATATGTCAATTTAACACAAACTGTGATTCCTAACAGTATTCAAGTGTTAAATTCTTGCGTTAATTTTTTACATATTACGCGTATTACTTTTTACCACATTTGTTTTATGTTAAATTTATATAAATGAGAGTGGATGATTTGGGACACATGAAATGTTAAATTTAACACATCATTACAGTGTAGGGATCTAAATGTGTGCCATATCTCTTGACGTGTAATATTGAGAGAAAAAATATCTGAAAAAAAAATTTTTTTGGTGAGTGCTAATAATATAAATTAATGTAAATACTTTCGATTAAATAGAATAAACAATTGCTTTCGTGAAAGGCGCGACCATTAGAAAAATACATATTTTCTTTTTCGAAAGAAACTTTTCCCAATATAAAACTGTGTATATTAGTACAAGTAAATTCAGAGTTAATTATTGGTACACATCGAGCAAATGTTTCATATTTTTATTTATTTTTTCTCTCAGTGCCGGAGGGAACATCGCGCCACATGATGATCGTTTTTACGATAGACGATATCTGTTCCTTCATGAGAGAGCACCGGAGGATTCTTCCGTCTCCCTTTCTCATTCGATCTGTTCTTATTGTTACTCTTGTGTAAAGGTGTAAAACGCAAATGGCGCTTGTGTAACCGCACAGACGGAGAAGGTACAATGCCTCGAGGAATAAATAGAGGCGCGCGCGCAATGGGAGTCGCATTGCAATGCGGCATAGACGAATTTATACCGCGTCTCGCGGCGGGTAATTATAAAAACGTCCATATACTAACTAGACAGCAAGTATGCGATATTTTACGTTAGGTTCGCTATGCAACCTTATGGATCTTGTAGCGCGCGCAGCTCTGAGGTTTCACGGGAGAGTTCGCAGCTGCGAATATATCGCTCGATCACGATCGCGGCGATTGCCGGATGATTAATGCGCGGTTTCGGTTTCGTAATTACGGCAGATCACCGCAACATCGTGTTCGGCCGATTGGCACAAATAGTAACGTCCGCGGCACATCCGAGGCAATTTTGCATATATAATGGATTAGTTAAGCAGGCAAGCGAAGGTAGCATGTAAGTCATCTCTCAGTTGATTTTCGCAAACATCTGCATACGGCGCACGCACGTCGACGCGCGATGAAAAGTACGTCGATAATTACATCGCGGGGCGTCCCCCGACGTTCGAGAAATATAGCCGTATTATTATACGTTGATCGAGTACCGCCACCGAGAACGGACCACCGGCGTGGCTTTAATAACGATTAATAACTATTTCGGGACATCCGGCGCGGCCCGTTGAAATTAATCGAGTCAGATCGACGACGAAAATGCGCAATGACGTCGCGTGCATTTGCATAAACCGATTAAGAGAAGAGTCGCGATCGCGATCCACCGCGCTCACACAAACCGCTCCATACGTCGCGCCGCCCACCCTTTTTTTCGCCGATGAAGATGTTTAAGAAACCGAGTCGAGAGTTATTGATGCGTACTCGAGATCGGAAGTACACTTACGCTCACCGTTATTGCTCTGCCGCATGCTGTTCATAGTCTGTTTGACGGACTCGCGAGTGCCGAGCGTCCGCCACTTGTAGACGCTGTGAGCAGACATCGGCGGGTAGTCGTTTTTCGGCTGGTGTCCGTTATATTCCGCCGCGGTGCTTCCTCTGCCATTGGCTCTTGTGTTCTTACCATGCTGGTGGAACGGCCACTTTGGCGCCGTGGTTGTTGTCTTGGGCACAGTGGTGGTAACCCTTGACGTTGTGTCGATCGAATCCTCGTCTTCATTGTCATCGTCGGCGTAACCCTGTACAAGCAAAAGTTCAATGCTTGAAGTAAGCGTGAGATAAATGACTTTTGTGCGAGAATAAATAAAGAGTTTACGTGCAGCTTTAGCCCTTAAGCACTGACACAGATTTACACAAATATTTGGAAGTTTGATAATTACGTGAGAAAGTGTGCGAAGTGTCTTTCCTTGTCGCCACTTCGTATCTTACGGGCCAAAGAAAAGATGGATGCGACGTGCATACGCTTAATTAAGCGGGAGTGAAACAGCAATAGGTTTTTTTTATTTCATTGGGAGTCTATCAGACTCCTGTCAGTGTTTAAGGGTTAATTCGATCTCTAGCATTTCATTGCGAGATGAAACCCCAACGAAGCGGTGTCGACGCGAGATTGTCGATACGGACATGACAAAATATGTAACACCATTCGCGGACTACGATCGCATAAATTTACCCGCGAGGCGATCCTTTTTCGATCGTGGGTGGCCAACACGCCCCCGTATGAGCCCTCGGCAGATTTCCTCTCCGAGATAAGTTTAATAGGCGAATTTGCATCTCTCTCCCCCCTCCTCGCTCCGTGTACGCATCTCTTCTCCCGCGACGTTGGCCGATCCGAGCTCAAAGAGAGCCGGGACCTACTTAATCGCCGTCTGCAACATCTGGAGCCTTTGATGTCGCGCCGCTTAGCAGAAACAATTCTCGCGAATGCGTGCGCGCTGAATCCTAGAGAGAATTTCTCCGTGGCTGTCTGTCTCGCGATTCCGCTCGTTTCCCGTTTTATTAGCGGACGCGCGGATCGTGCGGTGAAACCGACGGTGTATGGCCGCTCCTATCATTGATTGAGACATCGACTTCTATCAAAGGACTTGTCTCGCTAATGGAAAATAGTCTTTGTTATCGACTAAATATGTCTTTCTCCGTGTCTGAGTGATTGAATTCACAGCCGGTAATGTGAGATTTTACAAAAGCGCCTTTGTCCTTCGTAACCTTCGCGCATTGAACAGTATATGGCTCTCACGATGAAAGGTTAAGCGTGTCGAAATCTGTGCGATCTGTGCTTAACTACCATTAAGTGGTCTCAATAACTCTTAAGAACTGAATAATTAGTAGCTCTACAACGTATATGAACGCGATAAACTTGATCGGAAATATATTAAATATTGAAATATAAATGATTAAATATTATAAATAATATATATTAAGATATTATAATGTAGAATACGTTAAGTAACTAGATATACCATATAACGATGTTCCCATATGCTCAAGCGTGTGTCGTTCGAAGGTCGCGTGCCACTGACCTCTGTTTATTATTGGATTCACTGTATCGTACGCTATATGTGTACGTATGTGAGAATTGTGCGACGAAAAAGTGCGGCGAATAGAAAACTAGAAGTTGTTGTGCGTGAAGCAATTTAGAACAAAAAGCTTACTTAGGCAAGCAAAGTGTGCACTTAATTGCAACTAGACTTTTCAGTGGCAAGTATTACAAACATGCTTCTAGGATCTTCTGTTTACCTCACTTTTTTCTCACTATGACATGTGACCTCACTATGTTTTTCTCACTATTTCAGTTATACACGAAGACGAATTTCGTACGACTTTCAAAACAAAAACATACGTATAAATAGATTCCGTATTCGAGATCATAACAGTCTTCGACGTGCCGGCGAACACATCGGACGTGACGTCGCATTGTATTCCGCGTTTATCGGCGCGCGTGTCGGACGAATTACGATACTTGACGCAAGCGCGATCGTAGTGCTGAGATCATCGTGAGCTGTGGGAACGTCTTTATATTTAAAAGGTATATACACAACTACCACATTCTATCTTCATTAGATTTAGCCCTACAGTCGTCGCGCTACTTTTCGAACACGAGTCGACGCCTGGGATCTTGAGAAATCCCAATATAAAAAATTATTTTATATATTTTATGTTGAGAACTTAAATATTTTCTTTGTTTAATTAGATTTTTGGGTTCATGTAAAATATAAGAAAAGACTATTTTGGGTATAATATTTTCTTAAAGACCCCATGACAGGGTTAAGAAAGAAGCATACAATCGCACCCTTTTACTCTTGTTACGTCCACGTAGAATTCGCGCGGGGGTTTTCCCACCTAAAAATTGCGACGCACAATCGTACTAGCAACTTAGCTTTACTTTTCTCTTCTTCAAGCTCGTAGCATTCGCAAGCTCATTCGAAAACTCACTCGTAAGCTCAAAAAACCTCATTAAATTTAGTTTATTTAGTTTATTTAACTTTATTCATATTAATACTAATTAACTATTAATTCTCATTTTATAATATTCACAAACATAAAAATATTACTTATTTTAATCATTTTAAATTGTATATTAATCTTTAAATATATTTGAATATATTAATGAAGTTAATGATAAAGAAATCATTTATTAACATTTTTCTTCATAAGTGTTTAAAATATTCTAAATCAGATTGCCTATTAACACATAGTTGTAAGTATCCATATTCTAATTCCATTCAAACAAACCTAGCGACCTAGCAATCCCACCCTTGTTTTTACTGTCTCTTAGTTTGCACCTTTAGTCTGATTTTCGGTTATGCAACAATTAAATTCTTAAAGATCTATTATCCATTTATTTTAAGTAACACACATTCACACTCACACAAACTAATTTACCCTAGGGTAAATTGGATAAACCACTGACCTCAAAAGGACAAACTTTAAATCGTTCAAGACGTGACACTCTCGATATCCCTCGTATCGATTACCTTCGTATTTTTGACCCGTCAGAACCACATAACCTCTCTATCGCTAATTGCTAATCAAGAAAATTATATTATTGTTTCAGTTCTGAGACAAATCTTGCGGCAGTATATCGTGGAGGCAGCTGTAATCTCGACGGACGCGAATGCCGTACCGGAGGACCCGGTTCGGGCCGAGCAGGGTCGGCTTGAAGGTACATTTATAACTTTCCTGCACTTCTCCGTTTAACCCTTTGCGATCTGAAGTTAAGATATAATTGTCGGTATGACTTGAGTTACGATCGTAGAGGATTAGTCTACTCTAACCTACTCTCCTTCGTTAAACCGAATTCTTAAATCTAATCAGGGAATCTTCACTTTTTGTTCCAGATTCGGAGCGAAACGTGGCCGACCCTGACTGCAAGTCGTTTTGGTGAGTGAAAACAAAAAAAGGAACATTTCAAGGTGATGGGTTTATAAGTGGTGGGATTTAAGTAATACCGTTGAAATCAATGCGAATTGCTCGCAGATTTTTGTACGTATGAGGGCAGGATGAAAAGTGGTAGAAAGTTAAGTGCTCTCTCTTAAAGTAGTTTTAAGTGTACTTAAAAATAGCGCCAATAAAATTTGATATGTAAAATTATACTTAATCACGTGTTAGTATATCAACATCATTGGACCAAGTGCATTCGATTATGAGAGGAAATTACGTTGAAAAAGAAAGGAAATTTTTAAATTGTTTTACTGTAAAAAGAATTATTTCATTTTTATTTGCAAGACTTCAATCCGCCCTCGTATGTGTTTGTGCCACGAAGCAAAATATACGAAATAATTAGAGGGTTGTTTTATGAGATACCCGCATCACAGATTTAAAAGATCGAATTTTTTTCTCTTTTTTTAGTAAATTTTCAGTAAATATATTTAATATATTTATGAAAATATATATTTAATATATTTATGAAATATATTTATGAAAATATTAATACATAAATATATTTATGAAAATATTAAATTTTAACTATTTTACTTCTATCTCTAATTTAAGCGTGCGCGCTGTAGGATTATTTTACAGTGTCATTCATTTAATACAATCCCTTAATTATTTCGTATAGCTTATAATGTGCATAAAAATTGCGCCACCGCACGCTGAGCTGGAGGTTACCTCGCTCGCGTGGATTTTCGCGATTGCCGCGATTATTGATTTATACGTCTTTCCGCGCCGCGATTGTTTTGCAAATAGACAAATCGTGCTTAAATTAATTCGAGAAATATCGCGGAGCTGAGCTTCGAAATAATATTATGAAACTGTCAGAATCTCGCGCTATTCTTGATTATTTATTGTCCACGCTACGATAGATTTTGTGATCGATCTTCTATTGTTTACATTCACGTTGTGATAATTTTGTTCGAAGATTCTGATTTACATTGTTCATTGCTGATTCTTTATCTATTCTCGATTCTTACGCTGCGGATATTTTAAAACATCACGAATTCGCCGAATCTTCTGACCGCAATTTTCCGCAATTGTGTTCGTATACCGAAATCCGTTAAATGATCTTGCAAATACCTATTTCTTTTATTAACCGATTTAGAATTTGAGTAAAAAAGTTTATAGAAACATTCAAAGGATAAGTTTCTTTGTTGATACAATTGATTTGCCAAAACATAATTTCCAACTTTTGCTAATAGCTTATATTATTAGTAAATCAATGATTTATTTGTTTAATTAAGCAGTAGCATCTATCTTCATTACAGAAGTGTTGCTTAGAGCAGCAAAATGAAAGAGACAGCATTTAACAAACTATTTAAATTAACAAAACTGTATCTCTCACAAAATGTAACTGCAAAAGCAATTTATATCGGTCTCTATGATCGCGAATATTTATTTGATGTCCATATTGCAAATCCAGTATTTTAACAGCGCATCCATCTGTGTTTTGCGGAATATCTCTGCCAATTCTGCTTTAACACGAAATCTCGGGTGGGAAAGAACAAAGTGATAAATTGAGTAGAGATTTATCTTTCAGTTTAAAAATTCGTCAGATTGTCTCGTTGCGACAGCTACCTATTTCGTCTCTAATTCGCCCGTTTTGAAACAGAAATCGCATCTGCCGGGACATGGTTTACCATAAAAGATCAGCTGAGCACTTTGATCTCCGCTCGCAAAAAGCGCGGATAAGGATTTTCTTTTTTAGGCCGTCGATAAATTTAAGTGTATCAGGTATATCCAGACGTATGCCGCGCTATCGTTAACGATCCCGTAGAAATCAGGGTCGGCGAGAGGTCAGCTGGTCCTCTCTCAGGTTAAAAATGGATCCGCCATTCCTCTGAATCTCATCCTCAGATACGACCTGTGCCGTCTGCGCGCGTTCGGGCACATAACGAGTTTCTAATTTCTAGATTCTTCACCGGTATTTATTAATCCCCGAGCTCTCCGATAATATTCTTGATATGCGTGTCATTTTTATCTGCATGTTTTGAAACTCTCGCGCAATCGACGATCGATCAGTACCGTGGAGATTTTCCGTTTACGAGATCACGCACGGTTACGGATTACACACTCGAGACCACATCGATTTCCGCGAGCATGGACTCACTCAATCGCGATTCGCAACGACCGTTATCCCGCGCTGCATTGCGCGAACCGTATTTACGGAGCGATAAGGATAACCTTGGCGGGGTGTCGGCGCGCCGGTGTGCATACACTTGTTGCCGCGATCGCCCCCTCAGTGATTCTCGGAATCGAGTGGTCGGGTTTTACGAGCCGCGGGTCAGGGGTCACCAGCGTTTCTGACCGACGGGAATTCGTCCGCGGCCGCGTGCGCGTCCGTGCGAGCTCGTGAAAATTCACGGTAAAAGTTCGACGACCAGAATAGAATAAAATGTCTGGTGGTCGTCGACACGGCTGTTTGTCTGCTCTAGCCTCGGACGCACTCAAGGATCTTGCGGGTAACGCGCTCGTAACTGATAACCGATAACACGGCCATTGTAAACTAGACCACACGCGGCATTCGATTGCGCGGGAAAGTTTTTCCTCGTTTTTTACGGCCGGCGTGAGTAAATCGCACTCAAGCTCGCGCCGCATCTAATTGAATTTCGCACTCGGTATCTCTTTGCCCCGCGTTTCTATCTCTCCATTTCTGGGGCCGTGTTTAATGGTTTCCACGAACTCCGTTTGATTAATCGCGATGACGTAACCCTCTCAGATCCAGTCTCTGTTCATCAATGCTTTGTTCCTCATCAATACATTAAGCAACTTCGATAGACTTCAGATTTTTACATTATTCGTTTTAAAGTTGTTTTCAAGTTGCGTCAAGTTTTTTCAATTTCAATCATCTCCTTACATATCACTAACGAAAAATATTTTTGTTTAATGCTGTGAGAAAAAAAGAATGTCTAAAAAATAAGAAATATTTATTCGGTATTTATATATATATATATATATATATATATATATATATATATATATATATATATATATATAAAAAAAAAA